CCGTTAAAATAATCATTAAACAGATTAAATACAAATGTCGAATTTTAGATTTGTATCATTTCATTCTATGAAGCCTTGCCACCTATGATCGTTATGAATTCAATTAGTTAAGAGTTTGAATGTATTGTGAGTAAACTGTGACAACATTGTACATAATTTAGGTTAAATAATTTAATCCAGCCTGGTTGTATTGTCAATGACGGTCTTGATGCGCACATTTTTATTTGTCTTTTATGTGATGTATTAGGTAAGAGAAAACACAACAAATATTCACAATTCAGAAAAAAATGACCATGTAATATTGAGAGAATGAAAAATATGGAATTGTCAAGTCTCAGTAGTTGAATAAATTAATAGCATTGGAAATTGAGTTTTTACAGTCTGACAAATGAGACTGCATGAAGCCTATCAGTGTTCTCCCCAGGATGTAAACAGCGTGGCGGTGCCGCCACACCGGTCTGACACCGCCACGGTGATTAGCAAGACCGCCACACTGTGACAGTGCTTTTTTCATTGGGGATCTTGTCACGCTGGTCGGCCCGACTGGCACTCAAAATTAGCGACCACCACGGAAACGCTTCTGACCAGGACTATTGTCGTATTGTGATTATACTTACGTACCGACCGACAAGCATCCTGCCAATCATGAATAATAATTTGTAAACAATAGACATAGTCGTGCATCTTTAAACAATACAAGTCAATTTTGTAAAATTAGCACCTCTTTGTTTGTAAGTAAGTACATATTTTCTGACGATAGACGCAGTTTTTAGATTGAAAGCTAAAATTCTTTCAAAATTCCACCCGGATGTAACATGGGCAAAGCGGAGTTCACGATCAGTTTACGCTACAACGTGTTTATTGCTTGATTGGGTAAAATACATTTGAACTGTTATCATCGTGAATCATGTAAAAACTCTTCTTTCAAGACTTCTTTTACATTTTAAAAATTGCTAATCACCTCTTTCAAAAACCATCATGCAGTTTTCATCTGAAATCCATACCAACACATCGTGCTACGACATCGCTTTACTTCCGCAATGTAATTTTTATGATCACGATCATTCGGGAAACTTTGGGTTCTACCGGCATTACCATGCGGAATTCTGATTGGTTAATGGCGTTTTTGACCCACCGGGTCAAATGACACATGCGGTCAACTAACGCGTCACAGCTATCATGGCGGGTCTGTGTTTTTAACCGAAATGATCAAAAATAATTTCTCCCGATAAAGTGTTATTTGTTCGTTCATTTACTGTAAATGTTGTAGAAGCTGATGGTCGGAATAATAACCAGCAATCCGCCAAATAATTACGTGGTCGATTTTTTGAAGGAGAATTTTGTAGTAAATAAGATCATGAAAGTCGTGAACATAATCCTGGCTGGAACGTTTCAGATGAGTTTCATTCATTCAACTTTTTTTTTTAGTCTGCAGCATTTGCATTTCGAGAATGTTTCATTTTTAAATTCAAACTCTTCTAAGTTGTGAAACGTAATTTTCTGACTGCAAAAAAACAAAATATTTGCACTGTGACGGAGCTCATTAATATTACAAAAGTGTCCCAAAAAAAGTGTTTATAACACTGTGAAGCAAATAAATATCTGCCACTTTGTTTTTGAAAATATATGTTGTTTATTGTGTGGGTGTAAATGTGCTTTGGTCAATTTCTATTAGTATGTAAATGATATGCAAATTATATGCAAATTATGCCGCCACAGTGGTTTAAATTCCTGGGGAGAACACTGCCTATAATGAAGCCAAAGCTCCAGTTGGAATAAATATGTAGATCAGTGTATGTCTTTCTTTTTTTTTTAGCTCCGCTGTCGACTTTGTCCGATTGTCCGTCGTCGTCGTCCGTGTCAATGTTTTACTTTTTCGACTTCTTCTTGAAAACTACAAGCCTAAATGCTTTGATACTTGGTGTATATGTACCTTGGGTAGACC